TTGATATTTAGTTGTTAATATTTCCATTGTAAATTAATCATAAAATAAGCACATATAGTTATTTGTTTGAAGTATAATGAGATTAAAAGAGATCAGTGTAAATATTTATGTAATTGAATTGCAAATATTGAAGTATTGTTACAATATGTGCAGTATAATTTTTAAATATATAATTATTTATTTTTAACTTGTTTCAGATTTTGTATACTCTTAGAAAATATGTTAATTGAAAGAGCAAGAGAAGTGACCCAATGGCGCACCAGAGTCGTAAACCATCTATACTTAAATATATGTGTACAATGTATGTATATATTATGTAGAAGAATAACTAATATACATGTAAGTTTGTGTCCATTAACAAATTATGTTTATATAAATTACTAGATTTAACTTTTCTCCAACCAAAATACGTTTTAAATTGGAATATTAGAACTGACTTCGTTTGTTATGGGATATTATCCAGATGGATTTAGTTATTGTAAATACAGATAATTTTATAATAATTGGCCCATTCGATTTCAATAATAAGAATTAAGCAAGTTAGACATAGTATTGGATGAGAAAAGTAGAAGTCAAACAGTTATATGAAGGCTGTGATCTATTTATTTCAAAGAACGGATAACAGGAGGATGGCGTTGTTTTACTTGGCTGTGTACAAAATTAAAGTTAAATTGTGTTAAACATAAAAATTTTAATTGTGCGGAGGTAAAATCGCAGAAATAATTAAAGGTAATAAAATCTCTATCTTTTAGAAATTACTAGAATAACTGCACGACAGTTTTTTTTTAAATATTTTTTTAATTTAAAAATTGTAAGATCCGAAATATATTCCAAATTTGTAATTTATATATTTTATTTCATATTGTCCTTAAAAATATGTCCAGTTGTTAAAAATGGTGTCAATAAAACAATATAGCTCTAAATTCTCTATTAGTGTACAAAATGTATTTGCGAATAATTATTCTCTATTTTATACCCTTTCTCATAGGAGTAATTAGTCTAATAAGATATATTTGCATGTCATGATAAGAAGTGTTGAATTAATTGATATATTATTAGGAGGCAGTGACAATACAATAAATGTGAAGTTTAACCATTGATTGTTATTAATTTTTCGAGACTTTTGCCCGTCATTTACATTTCTGCTAAAAAAAAATATGATTCAGATAATAAAGGAAGTATTTATTTCATTCAGTTTATATTTATATATTTAATATAAGTCTGTCCACTTTTTCACCGATCTGTTAAATAAAAATGTGTTTACGCCTACCACATACTTCGAAATAACATATTAAGAATTGCGTCTTTTTCAGTGCGATCAAATGTCTCCTCAAATTTCAAATTTCCTGAGATATGGTTTTTAGGCCAAAGATAAATTTTTTGAATAAAGAATAGCAACGGTTGTGTCTGAGTCTACTTTTGAATGAAAATGATTATAACCGCTAAGATTGTTCTATTTGTGAACTATAAAAGCTGAAGATCGTTTTAAATATTGTCGACTGTAATAATGATAATAGTAATAATGGTAATTGATAATAGCAATTGGTTTCTATATTAGCATTGACACCGTGTTGTTTTTATATCCAATATATAATGAATATATGCTGACAGCATTATTCTAAAAAAGCAACGGAAGGCGACGTTTCCGTCTGAGCCACGCGGCTAGGTTAGGAAATCAATGTTACCACTGAACCACATTGCTAGGTTAGGAAATCAACATTTCCGACTGGACCACGTTGTTAGGTTTGGAAATCATTGTTACCGACTAGGCCTGTTGCTAGATTAGGAGGTCAACGCAACCGACTGGGCCACGTTGTTAGGTTTAGAGATCAACGTTACCGAGGGGCCACGCTGCTATGTTAAAAAAAATTGATTAAATGTCTGCTTGTTTCTTGTTTCTCCTTTTATACATTTTTTTTTTCTATCGGGACTTTTGCTGTTTCTTCTAGATTGTATGATATGTAGTTCCTCTTGGATTTGTTATTGTCTACAAAATCATTCTAATGTCTGTAAAATGGTTTTGCTGCTCTTGTTTTTCCGTTGCAATAACACAGGAGATGATCTAGCAATGGCTCCACGTGTCCAGTAAGTTTGAGTGTACGATTACTTCTAGTATTACGCACATAATAGTAATAGTAAGTTTATTGTTGTGACGATGTTGTAGTTTGTTATAGTCGTCACAATATAGAAATTGTACATGAAATGTATGGAGTTTGATTTTTTTTTATATAAAATGAATGTTTGAAACATTCCCATATATAAAATTGGTTTCATTTTGTTAATGCTTGGCCGATTTATCTCTTATTACTAAGATTAGTTTTTTAATATATATTTCATAATATCAATGTTTAACCAAATACTTTTTTTATGTTTCAGTTTATTTTTATTCCACCTGAAAATTCTGTAAAAACAGAAGAATAGTTTTTATTGAACACGACGTATTAATAAGAATAATTACAGTATTCTGCAGAAAATACATATTTTAATAAATAGTTCTACTGAGTCGGGATAGTCAATGTTGCTGCAGGATTCCACAAGCCTACAACTAACATACAAAGCAGTTAAAATTCTTAAACACAACATCACAGCTATAAATTTATATCCTGAAAAAAGAGTATTAATTTTCAAAGTGTGTTTAATATGTAACATATATATTATCTTTACAAATTAAATTCTTTTTTTATTTATATTTAAGATTTGATTTAAGTCTTCAGCAGTTCGCACATTTTTATACCACTAAAACTTTTATGGCACATTGAGAAAATTTTGAATTTTTATTAAATCCCTCTATTCTGGATCAAAATATTATTTTTTGGTTATATAAGCAGATAGACTATGTAAAAAAAACCAAAAAGAGAGGAACCTATTTCCAACTAGGAAAAGAGAAGGCAGTAGCGCTGTGGAGGATTGGTGTTTTGTCTTGTCCCGATCCTCAGCTACAACAAGAAGTCAGTATACCGGTAATATGATACGAAGTATATCAATTAAATTTTTTTTCTATTGTAATTGGATTGTTTTTTTTTAATTGTTTTTTTTTCTGGTTGTAGATGGATTTTGTCACACTTTTAGTGCACTCTATGTATCATATGCTGTGACTAATTTTAAAATTTTCATTTCACAAGTGGAGAAATACTAACCAAAATGAATGTTATCAAAAAGTTGTGTACCACGTTAGGTCAGAAAACTTTCAGTATTCCTATAATTTGCTTGTGACAACTAATATCGACTATTGGAAATTTATGGTAAGATATATAGATACTTTAATTAATTTTATTAATTATTCTTTTGTTTTAGAATCATATTCAAAACAAGAACGTTTGCAAAGCTACAATTGTTTTGTAGATTAATAATTATTTTACGGGAATTCTATCCAGAAATATAAACGAACGGTTTTAAATCAGGAAAAGATATATGTTCTTGCGGTGTAAATACAAAAATATAAAGTTAAAACGCTGAACTAAATACTTCATTACAATAACTGATGACATGAACTGAGGATTAATAAACATGAACAGATAAAGTATTTCCAATTGAATGTAATTATATACTAATCATCGTAATATGAGGAGTTGAAATCTGACTTAAAATACATGAACTTAACGTTCTAACAACACTTCCAAAAAAGCAAAATAAAAACATTATTGAACAACAAAACCGAATTATAAGGTGGGGACAAGCATTTTTTTCTCGAAAAGGATATTTTTGGATACCACTGAACCACTGAATTCAAATATAAGATCCAATCCAAGGAATAAAATTAATATGAGAAAACAAAAAATAACTCTCAATATAAAGCAGATTTAAGTTTCCAAACATCGTTCTCTGTACGTTCACAACTATTTCAAGGTAAAAGTTATTATTACATAATAAGTTATTTTATATTATATAATTTACAATATATATACAAAAGTAAATCACATCACTTTTTGAGCAAAGTTAAAAACAAGGAATTAATTACATATTAAGTTTTGATGGAAATGAGATTTTATTAACTTATTGAAAACAATTTATTCTAACTTTGTGGCATTAAACTAATATGTGAAAATTATATTGAGATTTTAGGTCAATACATATCTTTGATTTATATAAATTTATATATATATTAAAGAAATTTTAATATATATAAAATAGTGAGTAAATTAAAATATTTCATATTTTCAGTTTTAAAAATAATTAATTAAAAAAATGACCAATTTTGCGTGAATATATTTTAATTAGAAATCGTTTAAATAGTTTAACTTTTTAAATTTGCTTATTAAATATTCTGTCATATTTAAAAAAAAATTTAACATTATTATAAAACTATAAGACTTCTATTTCAGTATAATTTTATTATAATATATCCAGCTATTGTTGAGAATACTTGGCGAAAAATTTTTAATGCTTGTGAGGGGTTTAAAAAGAAAGTCCATATTGTCTAATCTTATTTACTTCATAATCCGTTGCAAACTTAGCTAGCACTATTTCAGTTTTTATGATTCGGCACTTCGGTTATCGATATTCGCACTGTTTTTGACAAAATTACAATATTATTAACAAATTATGTCGGTTCGCGTGCACTTATTTATTAACACTTGGTACTGTTTTAAAATTCTTTAATTATAAATATGAAATGTTTTACAAAATAACTTCTTACTAGTTCTTTAACGGAATTTTTTGATCCTTGAGATCATCCAAAGGGGAGTTGACAAATTTTGGTAAACCGTATCACACTCCCTTTTGGACTACTGGTATGGAACTAGAGGAACGATGTATGTTTCATACAACATTTGAGCACTTTCTCGTTAAACGGCTCGTTATCTTAATTCAACAAAAATTTTAATAATTTAAAAGTTCAATAACTTCATCGTATTTATAATAAATGCAAGTTCATCAAGCAAGCGAGCAGGCGAACATTTAAATAAATCAAACATTTATAACTTCCACGTTTTATGTCACTCGTCATAATGTAATACGAAATTTATATTTTTAATTAATTACAATCTATTTAAGCTAGAGTCCAATCACAGAAGAGATATTCGGCTTAACTTAAGATATATTGACTATTTCAATTCGATTCGATGACACTGTTCTGAAATACTGTGTCTAAAGTCAAAGTGATGTTCAGATACAATATTATTTTATTCTCATACCGGTAACAATTGTCTACGTCCCATTCTTTCGAATATTTTAGAGAATGTCACAAGTAAGCTCACTGCACGGTATGATTAAAGAAACTAGAATACAAAGAAGTACCACTCTCATGCAAATATAATATCCACTTTATTTTGCTGGTGGAATTATAAAAGGTTAGGTTGGGTTATACCGGTGATCCCTAGTGGATCCACTTAGGCCTATTAGCCCATTGTGATACCGTATATATAGAGTTGGAATTATAATAAATCTATAAAAATTCTCATAGAACAATGTTAGATCAAGTCAAAACGCATATGATATTCAATTCAAACACATACGTGAGTCAAGTTAAGCTGGTAAAAGCTTGACTAAATGTTCAATCATATATGTAACCCTCTTTAATAAATGATAGTTGTTGTTGTTGTTGTTGTTGTAACCCGCCGGGACCTGCTTGCGGGGTCCTTTTGGGAGGTGTTGAACGGTACTTGGTCGTCGTAGGTGACGAGTGGCTCCGGGACGTAGACCTGACCGTTCTTGGAACCCGAGTGGTTAATTTACTGTAAAATGTACAAACGATCAAAAAGCATTTTAGTGATAAAATCAAAATATATTTCATAAATATTTTTGAATTTGATAAATAGTATATAAAAAAAGACCTGTTGTTCAAAGGGTTGTTGTTGTTGTAACCAGCTGGAACCTGTAAGCAGATAAAATGAAAGGATATACAAGACGTTTATATGGCAGGAAAATGAGAAGGTAGTGGTCGGTGGAGTTGGAGAGGGGAAGAGGTTGGGGTGGGATGTAAAAACACAATATTAATTTATTTACGTCTCAAAATCTGAGTTTTTGCATTATGTGAAACTTTGTGTGAAAAGTGTCCATTCACAATATTTCCGAAGCAATATCGTAATCAACATTTTCTACAATTCAATCCGGTGTAAATAGCATGGATGTGCTTCATTAAACCAGGATGCATTATCAGTGACTTTCTATGTATTTTCGCATTATTATTTTTCTTGTATTTTTAGTACTTTTATTAAAAAAACTTATATGTATCTTGCAAATATTAAAAAATAAATCTGTTGCTGCACATAAGCTTCCAAAATCGTTATTAAGCTTATAATTTTTGATGTGTATAAACATCTCTGAAATCAATTCTATAGGTTTTCTATCTGAGTGGAATGAGTCCGCTTCTTCAACGAAATACGCTTTATTGTCTCTTCAAATGCCCTTCGAAGTTAGCACATTAGCCCTTTGCTGTTATAATTTTCGTTATCTACCCCTTTCAGAACTGCAAATACCTTCTAGTATTATGCAGAAATCTAGTTCTAACATAATCCTCATCTTATAAACAATTTGATTGTGTGTTGAACTGATACAGTTTTAAAGAAGTTTTATAGTTATAGTTACAAATCTCTTATAACATCGAATTTAATATTGCCGTCAGCTGTTTCAAAGTCTGACTTTATAAATGCATTTCTTATGGATTTTATTAAGTGTGGTACATCATATAAAAGATAGATTTTTGCGTTATTATAAATGAAGTATAGTCTTTAACTGAAACATTCAATAACAGTCACATTCCCATTATTTGTACCTTGATCACATGTTGTTGCATATATAGTGTACGCTCGAAAGGAGGAGTTTACGTTATCAAATTGATTAAGTTTTCGAGTGGCAAACAAAAGTAAAGGAAATACGCTTTTGCATATTTAAATTCACATTTTATTGTTTCTTTTTCTAGTAATTGAAACAGGGTTTTTTCCTTTAGACGTTTAAGGACATTCATATCATTTCGATCGACGCCTTCAAGACTGGGACACTGTATTGCTTTGTTTAAAATTTAAAATGCTTCACTTGGTATAGTTTTCTCCGGTGCCTCTGAGATGCAGACTTCGTAGGATTCGTTCTCATGTTCCATATCATCATCCGCATTTTCTTCACCAGATATTTGAAGAATTCGAATACCGTATCTTTTTTTGATTCCTTGAAGCCATCCTGCACTAGCGTAAAAATCACCTAAATTTTGAATGCAGTCATTTGGACTTTTCTTACAGTATTAGAGCACTTACTAGTCAGTTCTTACTTCGCATTCAATTAAACCAACGATAAAAAGATTTCTTCATTTTGGGCAGTTCTGAAATGCGCAGGATTTTTCTTTTCCCAGGTCCAGAAAATGTGTTGTAAATGTATTTTAAAGTCACTCGTCTTTTTGCTTTAATGTCAAAAATCGTTGATTTAGCAATATTATATTTTTCCGCTAAAAGCGTCACACTCGACCTTTTTTGTAAAAAAAATTGAGAATTTCAGCCTTTTCTTTTAATATCAAACACACATGTTTTTTCGCACTCATCTTTACCCCACCAAAGGCGAAACGCTCCATTAAAGACAAAACTGCAATTGATATATTTTGCATTTTACATTTTTTTTTTTTATTTTTTTTTTTTTTTTATTTTTT